TCATCCGGAGACAGGTCCCATAAACACTGTTCAACCCGAAGGGGTGGGGCTTCAAAATAACGACAAATTGCCTCCCACGTGGGAACAAACACAGATTTTAAAGATCTCTTTGGATATTAAAGGGGCACCATGAAATGTACAGAAAATATTGTCTTACACACACAAAAAATTAAATGTTTGGAATGGAATTTAAAAACTCAAATGGGCCCCTTTCCACGCCTTTCGACTGTATTAGGCATAAAGAGCGAAACGTATAGTCTGTAGTCTGTAGACCATTCAGCACTTGGTGGGTGACATGGCTAGCATCACGTCTTGGAAGAAACCATGATGGAAAACTAACATAGCACACACACACACACACACACACACCATACACACATACACTCACGCGCGCACACACACACACACACAAGCAAACACACACACGAACACAATAAAAACTTACACTCGCTCCCGCCAACAAAACAAAAAAATATATTTTGATGCAAGGTAAATAAAAGACACTCGGCAGAAGTCATAGCAATTATATCTTCAAAGGTCAGGAAACACACACGCCAGAGATTATGAGAATAAATCAAGCAATATAATTTCATAGGTAGAACTCATGCATGTAGGTTTCAATGTAGACATCAGTAAAAATAAAAGGGTGGGGATAGGGGTACACTGAAATAAGAATATTCAGGACAATATTCGTGTATAGTCAGAGGCGTGGGAGGATCAGGCCAAGGGCTCCGGTTGAGCTGGCCGGTCTTTATCAGTTGATACACGGTGCGAAAGATTTCCTTTCTACCGCCCCCCCCCCTCAAATCACGCGCGCGCACGCGCGCATGCACACACACACACAAGCACAACCACACATTCACACCATTTTGTCACCCCCCCCCCCCTCTCAGTGATGACACCCTGAGCGACCGTTCTCCCAGCAAACCCTCCCCACCCCACCCCTTTTTTGGTTCAACGAAACTGTGGGGTGGTGGGAAAGGAGGATGTGTAAGGAAGATGCTCCGATGGCTAAGGGACACTCGAAACATGGCAAGAATTCCTGACTTCACCAACGGTGAATAACAGGTAGACAGAATACATAGGGGCAGTATAACAACGTGTGCGAGCGGAAATAAACGATACGGGTACTGAGGAGGATTCATAGGAACAAAATATCATAAACCGCAGTGCATAAATTAGACAAATCAGATAGGCTAAAAGCTGAACTTTTGAAAAAAGAAGAAACGCTAACTTGTGATGGCAACCATGGTTCTAATTTCCCATGAACGTACTGCGCAAAGTTTTCTTAAGGCGAACTGGTCTATCTAGTCACAAGCCATAGCTTGGAGCTGTGACTTCCATGTCTGTCTGCAGCACAAAGTAATAGACTGAAAGGTGCAAACAGTATTTGGAAGGTAAAATAACCAGAGTGATATTTGGTCAGGTCAACAAGTGAGTACCTATTGGTGACGGAAACCTGGGCAAATTATCAACATTTACACGTTTTACAGGCGAGAGGAAATGCTCCCACTAACCTTTGACTCCACAAGCCTACACACCTTTGACACCTGCGGGTCGCTTCTCTTTGGCGTCTGCCTCACTGACATGTGCGCGTGTCAAAGCTGTCTAGATCAGTGGTTCCTGCAGCTTTAAGAGCTTGCTTTTAATAAACAATATCACTAACGATTGCATAGCCTAAATATTTATTTGTACAGTCCAAGCATGGCATCTCGACCCAATTTTCGGCTTCAAAAAGTGCAACATTCCTCTTCTGCGTTCACCATTAAAAAAATAAAGTGGTTTGTAAGTATGTTGTTTACAGTTTACAGCAAAGCTGCAAAATCTGCACGGTACACACAAACACATACGATTTCCAGGAAACTCCTAATTATTCGCCTTTTACGTCATGCTGTATGGGGTCATTTTGTCTACCCCCCCCCCCCCCCCCCCACTATTTTAAAAAATGGTACCCGGAACTCAACTGTTAGGTTATACTAGGGCCCCCGACGACAGACGGAGTGGGGCTTTAAAATAGCAAACAACCGCGTCCCGTATAGGGACGGAGTTATAAGCTCAATGAATGGAATCATATTTTAACAACCATCTAAATAATTTTTGTATGGCACCCTAGGACGGCTACCCTTCTTCTTCTTCTTTTTCTTCTTTTTTTTCTTCTTCTTCTTCTTTTCTTCTTCTTCTTCTTCTTCTTCTTCTTCTTCTTCTTCTTCTTCTTCTTCTTCTTCTTCTTCTTCTACTACTACTACTACTACTTCTACTTCTTCTTTTTCTTCTTCTTGTACACCTTCCTGTGTCGAGAGAGAAATACAGTTCTGCTTCATGCTCTTCTGGTCGCCTCGGCAATAGTCACATCGTGCTGCCATTGAGTTTCTCTGATGTTATCTTCCCATATTTTTCTTGAACTACCTCACGCACTATGACATTCTCCTCTCTCGGTGTATGCCTTATGTGGTATAGCGTCACAATACATTTTCTCCGAGTGAGCCACCCCTAAAAATAGACCCACTTCGCCCTTCCCCCAACCATCATCTCGTAAAACACTACCAATTATAGGTGTTTCCTTCCAAGTTTGGTACAAATGCTTTAAAGAAAAACGAATTCTCATTCTGACTGATGATGCCCGTCCTTCAGGCATTTTAACACATACACCTATTGTGTGACGAGCCTGATATTGCCTACTGCTACACACCTACCAAAAGTGATATTGGTCAGTCATACAACTGAAAGAGGCAAGCTTAAATGGTTTCAGTATAAAAAGAAAAGATATGAGAGTCATTTTCAGGAATGCAAATATTAAACTGGAGATATTCCAATATTGTACGGAAATAGTAAGTCCCCCGCCCCCCCCCCCCCCCCCCCACTTATGTGTCATTTAAAAAATCATTGGCCATCTGTGTATGTTTTAAATGAGCAGCGGTTTTTTTTTTTTCTTGATATCGTTTCGTTATACTCAGTCTTTTTGAAAGATCACCCAGTGCTTTAAATCATCCATTGTCATCATGTAGCAGGTACTTTGAAGGACGTCGCTCTCATCACAGTCTGCCTGAAAGAAACAGGATCTCGAGCCAGCTCTCTCGCCTCGTGCACTTTCATATCCAAGAAGTCACTTATATCCTGTGCCCATCTCCGTACTGGTCAGCCCCTCCTTCCTGGTACTGTGCCATCTGCTATTATGTTTCCAATCCACAGCGGCGCTTGTTATGACCAAACTATTTCAACTTCCGAGACAAGATGCTGTTTCGTCCTTGATGCTCCGATCTTTTAGAAGGTCAGTATTTCTTCTCTTATTTGTACATATTATTCTGAGAATCGTTCTATAGCATTTTAACCCAACAGCCCCTAGTTTCTTCCGTAAATAAGGACTGGGAGATAATTATCATCTTCTTTACGACCTTTTCAGGACGTAATTTTTTGTTATTTGAAGCCCCACTCTGGCTTTTGCCAGGGGCCGCAATATAGGCAGGCCATCAATATGGCCAATTGTCTGAAGGCGGTTTCTGAGACCTCTCCACGGTGATCCTCATCCACATTGTGGCACTTTGTGTCATCGGGTGTTTATCGCTTGTGTGATGTCCTAGTGGGGTAGAAAGTCAGTCAGTCACTGGGAGATAATCCACGACTCACATCTATATGTGACTATAAGGAAGATGCATGCTCTTGAAATTCTAACTTTGACTTCCTTGCTGGTGCTTATTCATAAACTTTTAATGCTGTTTAATTTTAAACCACTACATAAGATTGAAATAATAATAAAAATAATAATAATAAAATTTAATAGGCTCGAAATGCTGGAGAAGAAGAAAGAATGTGTATTAATTGACCTGGAATGACACGTTACGTGTTAAAACGGCTTCTGTGGGTATCTCCTTCTTTGTGCACCGGCTGTAAGCTCCTGCGGAAAGTCCTAGTTGTTCCTCCATTTTTACTTTGGCTTTGTGCCACGGCCTGAGTTTTTTTTACGTGTACACCCGTTTTACTGGCTCATTTGTGTGCAGTTGGTCGTTCATTGCCACTCGGGCAGATGCACTGCGATTTCGAAGGACGTCCCGGTTTCGGCGACTCCTACCACATGCTTGTAGGAAAAGCAGTGGGTCTATTCTCGCCCCCCCCCCCCCCCCGCCAATGGGGATCCGGAACTCACATGGGGACTTCTGTTGTTATAAATAAACATTGTAGCATTGTCTTTCATTTAATCCCTTACGTCCTGTTTAGGACGTATTTTTTTCTTATTTGAAGCCCCACTCTGGCTTTTGCCGGGGGCCTCAATATAGGCAGGCCATCAATATGGCCATTTGTCTGAACGCGGTTTCTGGGGCCTCTCCACGGCGATCCTCATCCACATGGTGGCACTTTGTGTCATCGGGTGTTTATCGCTTGTGTGATGTCCTGGTGGGGTAGAAAGTCAGTCAGTCTTTCATTTATTTGCAATGACGAAGGCCTGTGTTGGGTCCCCGGGTGGCTTAGCTTGCTGAACACAGGAGACGGGGAAACGGGAGGTTGTGGGCTCAAGGCAGACGACCATCGTAGGGCAAGGTCAAACGGTTCACTGTTCCCCACACTCTGATTGGTGGATATTTTTCCATCCCCACCGGACAGCGTGCTCAACCATTTTCTTTATTTAAATAGTGGGTTTTAACTTGTTGAGGTAAGAAGTAATGTCAACAAAGCTTAGCGTAATACATTTATCTTTTAGGTCAGTAGTTTAGAAATTTTAAAAATTTTAAAATATCTATCAAAATAATTCGTTTAATGGTGAAATTACCCCCAGAAAACTCAGGTGAGAACCTGGTACCCCTTGATTCCATGAGCTCCATGAGTTTTTCGTGCGCAGATTCAAACGATGATTTCTACGTCATCATCTGACCAAATTCTGCCATTGTTCTCTTGTTCTCTTGTAAATAATGTTGTAAATTAGTGTTCTTATTGAATTAGAGTTCGGCGTTTAATTTTGTTTCATTTTTGTTGTAGATTGACCAACGTTCAGCAACAAACGCTTCAAAATGTATGAAACCTGTGCAAAAATGGTATGTATGCTCTGTCAATAGTTTGTGCACTTTTTTCCCTACTAAAAAGAAGATGATTGAATTTGTGTATGAACGACCGTTATGTTATTCGTGCTTTTACGAAAAAAATTTCTTAGTATACTCCTCAGCCTGCCATTCGCAAATTATTATAATCTGGGCCTTGATTTTTAATCAAATGATTTTTGTAAAACTTACTTACTTACTATTATTTGTTTCAACAATTACAAACGACATATTGTATCCATTGGAAAAGACAAATCACACCCCATCTTAGAATATGGATTGGAATTCGCCACACGTGTCTCAAAGAGTCAAAGCGGACACCAAGAAACGACAATATGAAATAATTACTCCTTGGCTTCTCAGCAAATAAATAAGAATGAACATAGAAAAAAAAAACAAACTGGTGCAATACAATAACAAATAATCAAGTGACTTGATCATAATCTATTATCCTAGCTTACTGTGCAATTTTCGTCAAGCATGTAGTGTTAGTTACAAATTTGTACAAAAAAAAAGCACTATGCTCTGTAGACTTTGGCTTGGGAAGAAAGAAAAGGGGTGAGGGGATCTTGAATCTCTGTTTATGAACATAAGCATTAATTGCTGTAGGGTCATCCATGAAAACCCACATTTTGCAGCTTCTGTGCCCAAAAATGTTCTGTGGTGAATTCATTTAAAATTATTATAGTGTGAGTAGTTCATTTCTTTGCTGTAAATTACTTGTTTATATTTTTGTGATGTAAGATTATAGATTTTTTAAATAAGGCTCCAATTGTCTCTTTGTGCCTTTCCTAGTCATTTTGTTTGTGTATAGCTGCTAGACGCTTGCCTGTGAATCAGAAGGTATTGGGTTCAGGTCCTAAGACACCCATGAAATACTGTAGTCAGATTTGGAGTTGGATATTTCCTTTGAAGTCGGAGTGCATCTGCATAAAAGGCGATGAACCAGCACTGCATTAAAAAGAAAAAAAACACGTACTTTCTGCCAGAATTTGCGGAGGACGATTGCAAAGACGAAGAAAAGAGATGTGGTTTAATTTAAAAATGTAAATTTTGTTGTTATAGCATTTCCCTTGAGTTAACAATAGCAGGATATAAATAATGGCTGACATATTGTAAGTTTAGTGTATGGCTGCCTTGTAAAACTACCTAGGCAAACAATGTGGGCATCTGACCCCTCCAGCAAACACCCTCCCCCCAGCAACCATTCTCCTCACCACCACCCTACACATGAATTGAAGGGCTCTCCTTCGATCCCCCCCCCCCCTTCCATATTATTGCGGCCAAACAAATACCCTAACAGGGCCTCAGTCCTATGCAAAATGCGGAGTTACTGCTGAGGAACAAATCTTTGCAGAACTAGGATCGGCTCTGAATAACGGGCCATTATTATCGAGGGCAAACAAGCCACTGTGCAGCACCGCCGACAGTATCCCTCGCGCCGCTACGCGTAGCAGGGATGGGGGCTAAACTGGATAGCTACCGCATCTACTGCAACTTCCTCCAATTTATTTGCTCGTGAGTCCCAGGTGCCAAGGGGATACTGTCGGCGGTGAGTTTAACCGCTTTTTGCGCATGCCGAAAAGTGTGAGGACGACGACGCTTATGTGCATCGGAGCGCGTGTTCTCCCCGCCATGTTGCTATTATCGTCTGTAATGTTGCGTGTCTCGAAATTGTCAATGGTCGCTATTATCCTCTGCTAGTATCTGCAGAAACGCTCAAAATTGTAAACGGTCACTTTTATCGTCTGCTACTATTGTCTGCATGCAATGTTACGTGTCTTAAAATTGTGAAGTAATCCTAGCTTTGCGCATTGTTTTTCGGAGGAAGTCCGCATTTCACACACGATTAAGATTCTGTTAGGGTATTTGTTTGGCCGCCATATAATGGGGGGGGGGGGGGGGGGGGGGGAGAAGATGGAAGGAGAGCCAATTGGAGTTGACCCAATAATTGGCAAAACTAAACGGTGACCCTAAGGCACAAATCTGTTTGCATGCGGCGACCATAAGGAACAATCCATTGTAAGGTTTACATAGTAATGTTCTGTAATATTTAGTGCCTCAGGTTTTGGTTAGGGTTACAGTTGTCGCCATTTACAGTGTTTGTACAACAGTTTTGCAAGGGGGCTGAGATGCCCATTTTGCTATATACATATTCTTTTTATTCACGTTCGCCAGCTAAGGCTGTAAACTCCGTCAGTTCGGGCTGTTCATCCTCAGAACTTGAGTTTTGAATGCACCTCCGTTTAAAAGAGCTGGCTTATTTGTATGCAGACTGATGGTTCCTTGCCTAACCGGCCAATGCATTCCAACTTGGAAAGAAACCACCAGTTAGTCGACTCTTACAACATTCTTTTTAGGGATGCAGTGATTATATTCTTTGTCCTTCAGGAACTCAACACATGTAAGCCACTGTTTATTTTTTTTTTTTTTTTACAAGTAAAGACACCCTAGCAGGACACATATGAGTAACTAAGGAATGTTATCACTGATTATTCTAGTTGGAGTCATTTAAAGTGGGGTAATTGGAGTGATGTTTGCAAGTCGGAATAACAAAAGAGCTTACTGTAATTATTGGGGTGTGGATGGCCTCAGCCTCCCTTAAGTTTTGGAGAGACTCAGGTACCAGGTTCTGGCACCTGTGCTAAAGAAAGAGATAAACTGCCAGAGTGCCTGAAAAAGAAATCAGGGACAGTAGATTTGATTTAGGAAACCTGACGCTGCCTTTCTTCAAGTTTATCATGCAACAAATGATAATGACGTAACTGCTACTCTCAAACAGGAAAGCAAGTGATCATCACTGATTAGGTTTCTTTTTTTAAATTTGATCACATTCATTGAGGTGAAAGCGGGTTCACATAGATATGTCGATCCAGGAAAACAAAGCTGTCATATGAAGTCACCTTGCAAATATTTGGATAGGATTCTTCTGGCAGTAATTTTTAGAACTCAGGAACATTGCTACCAGTAAGTAGCTCTTGCTTGTAGGTAAATGTCCCAGTGCAGCTGTACTATTTTGTCCTGTTTTGGTGGTCTTCTTTCACTAATTCTTGTACTTTAAGACAAAGGTAATTCCCTAATCACTTTTAATTTTCTTAAATGGAAATGCCATAGAGTTGTCTTCTAACTGAAACAACTATGAATCTTCTTCTTTTAAATTCCATGCACAGATTGTCTGCACTAAAAACTGGGAAATATTTGCTCTGCACTCGTCTTCCTTAACAATGCAGTTCTTTAAGTCACCATTTCTCAACTGAGCTGCAGAAATCATAATCCTTTCGTTGAAATTCTTTATCACACTCATAACTTGTCAAAGATGTCTTTTCCTAGCAAGATATAATTTTCTCTATTTAACTTTTTGGTAATAGGTAATATCAGTTTCAGTAACCATTTAGGATCTTCTAAATCATAACATCCTTCTCTGAATTTCAGAAACTGTAATTTGAATCTTTTCAGAATTCAAATATATAGCTGACCGCCTACGAACATCTGTGTGCAAGAGTCTCCATACCCAGCACCAGTTTCTTCGATTAAAGTTCGAAACTTAATTTCAACTTATGGTGCAAATTGAATTGACAGTGTTAACACTAGGATCATAACATCATCTGAGCACAGAATTGTTGAACATTAAACTTACTGGTGAATGGTATAATGTGATTGTAGTTCTGTCTGCCTCATCCTTGGCGAGTGTAACAACACAAACATTAGTTCCATCCATAGATGGTGCAGCATCAGTTGAAATGGACACCAAGTATTGGAAAAATCTGTCTTTATAATATTATCTTCGAAATTATTACCCGTGATTTATCTTCTCATCACAGTGGTCCAAGAAAGAGTCTTAATTCTACACAGTATTTCTGCTTAGTATTTAAAAAAAAAGTTCTTTCTCTTCTCCCCCCTCCCCCAACAATTAAACTAAGGTGCACAATCTGGGATTTATCCATTTCCATGTCTCTGCACTTATAAATTTAACCGCCAAACACTAGGACTCCCCTGGTCATGTAACTTCTTTTTTTGGGGGGGGGGGGGTGTAATGAATGCAGTTTTGCCTGTCAAAGGTGTGACTGACCATGCAATTACAGCTGCTGCGCAACATATACACATCAGAGAGCACGAAATATTAATTAACCCTTTTGCTGCTATGGACGAGATAACTCGTCTACTTGGTAGACTGCTAAGGACGAGTTAACTCGTCTTCCATTTTCTGTGCCCTCAGTGCTAAGGACGAGATATCTCGTCCTCGACTTTTCTTACAGATTGCTAAGGACAGTAATTCTTGGGGGTGAAATGGAAATATACATTACCCAAATCTGATCAAACTGACCCATTTACATACAATTAAAACCCTTATCAGGTGCGTTTAGCCGTATTTAGATGCATTTCACGCTATCCTGTTGCTTTGTTACCATAGAAGCATGGTCGGTGAACGGTAACTTTTTTGCCCTAAAATATGTTTCTGGTTTTGCGTTAGTCTACTTTTTTTAAATACAAAATAACAAGAAAATTTGTTAATTATAGTTAATGAAGAATTATTGGAGTTTGTTTCGAGGAGTAATAGTAAGGATAACTTTGAAACGTTTGAGTTATATGAGCTGGGCTATCTTCGCGGCACGCGTCGGACACGTGTACTTCTAGCCGTGAGCAAGACTGACCATATGACCCAGCTATCTACATTGACTGGATTTGAAATGAATCACCAATAATCAAAATAAAGATATGGTCACGTACTGACATGATAATTAATACTAATGTTTCCAATATACTATACAACTGACAAAACTGTGTCTTGTCTATCAAAGTGTACAATACTAGTCCTATTTTCGGTATCAATTTACATATAAACTTCTAGCGTAGTTGATATCACGCTTGCCTTGTAATCGAAGGGTACGCGTTCAATTCCTGCATGTCGTATTTTTTTTTTAATTATTATAATTTTAAATGTAAATTCTAAATTTGAGCTCTTAGCTCTTTCGGCAACAGATCACAGAAGTATTAATTAATTAAACATTATGTCACGTGCATTTAGATGTGTTACACGTTATCCTGTTGCTTTGTGAAGCATGGTTGGTATACTGTTCATTTGTGTGCAAAAACACTCCTGTTGCCTAATTTCACTTAATGTTAGTAAGAGAAAGTCTTCATAAATATTGCAAGGAAAAGAGAACAAATGTACGAGGACAAAAAAAGTGAAGATCTGCCACTTCGTTTAGTACAAAGAAAGGCAGTACCCTTCAAAGAGTCTGTAACATCACAGAAGAAATTCCCAACAAGAAAGTGTGTGGTATGCGCAGAAAGCAAAAAACGACAAACGGCGGGAAACCCAGATACATGTTCAAGGACTGTGATTTGGTACTGTGTGTCGCACCTTATTTTGAAATATTTCACACAAAAAGATATTAATAATAATAAAAAGAACAAGTATCTGCTTACAAAATGTTTTGTATTTGCTTTGTAAGTTTGAAGTATTTCTATTTAATGAGTTTTTATGGCGTAGCCCAAGCGCGTCCGACTTGTCAGCGCAAAGGTCAACCATGCGCTTCAAAAGAGTTTTTATTTTAGGTGTACAATTTTTACCCCGCGCCGCAAGAGCGTCTTCTTCTTTTGGAGGCGAGAAAGGTATTCAGCACAGGGAGAAAGATTAGCTCTCGCCTGGCTCAGCACAGTGGTTACGTTGGCCTGCGTTGGGCGCAGCAGCGAAAGGGTTAAAAAATATATAAATACCTGTGGCATTTGGGCCAGCAGCTGAGCAAGCTGTCTGCTCCCTCTGAGTAGTTCTTCTGGCCATCATCATCCCATAACATTGCATGTGGTTGAGTCACACCTATTGCTGTTGACTGTCTTATCAGCTCCCTCCATCTTTGATGGTCAGATGTGATGGACCTCATGGTTGCTTGCCTAAATCCTGTCAAGTTCTTTTCTTTTCTCTTCCCCACTACTGAGACCTATAGTAGTTTATTGTCAGATGTACTGTCTTCATGAAAACATAGCAACCTTTTTTCTACATATTCTTATAATCTCACGGTCATTTGTCACCATTTTCACAAAAATGCAAAAAATCATTGTGAGGCAGTTTTCGATAAAATGACTTGCAAGTGTGTTTATGAATTGTTGAACAAACTATAGTTTACTGGAAAGAGTTTAGAAATTATAACAATTATGTTTTTCTCTAAAGTCCTCAGGTGATGTATCACCTGTTACAACACCCAGCTCTGCATCGTTGAGTGGGCATCCACCCAAGTTTGGAACAATTATACCAAGCAGAATTTTTGTTGGTGGAATTGCAGCTAATGTAAGTTAGCAGTATATTGCCTAATGTGGCTGTACTTTTGTATTAGTTGACTTTGACTTCTTGGTAACTGTAGATAAAAGACACATTGAAGTCAAAAGATAGGTCATTTGAAAGCTTTTCTTAAGGTGAAGAATATGTATGTCTTTTTCATTTGAGGTAGGGAAACTGGGCTGTTTAACAAGTCGTAGTTGTGCTGTATTAAATTGAATAATTTACAGTCTACAGTGAGAAATTTTGTGCAAGCAGCATTGTTTTATAAAAGAGTATAGGACATATTGAAAGGTTTGATAATGTCCTGAAGAAATTAACTTGCAAAAAACTGGTTACTCACATCAGATATAGATTGCCCACATTCTTCATTAAGAGGTGAAAGCTAGTGTGTGTCATGAGACTGAAGAAGTTAAAAGAGAAAAAAATAACGGGAAGACCAAGGCTAATGATAAATAAAGCCCTATTGTAGAACGATCTTACAGGGATTTCTGCTTGTTAGGATTCTCATCCTTGAGATGTTAATCTTGTGACTGCAGGTCACTAGCATTTCATAGCCTGATAAGTGTTTACTACTGGGTTGTTTTTGAGTATTGTATTCCGGGAAAAGGTCATTGTTTAGGTGCTGGCTTAGATTTCAGTCAGTTGCAGGTGATTTGGCAGCAGATCTACGTGCATTAGCTATGACAGTGGGGCTATCCTTTGAATAACGGGCACTAAAGATGGCAGCCGCAAAATATCCGTTCGAGCCGCAGTCACGTGTCAATTGCGCACTTCCGGCTACTTAATTTGCAGTTTTCCGCCAACAACCGTTAACGCCACGTGGCAGTAGCTTCCGCATCTCCTGCAGCTTTGCTCGTGAGTCCTAGCCATCTAGTTTAGCCCCAGTCTATGCCGTGCCGGAAGTGCGCAATTGACACGTGACTGCGACTCGAACGGATATTTTGCGGCCGCCATCTTTAGTGCCCGTTATTCGAAGGATAGCCGACAGTGGTATCAAGAGCTGACCATTCAGGAAAGCAGTGGCAGAAAGTTGAACATAAAATTGCTTAGTGAGATAACAGCCTAAAAATGCTGATTTGGTTCTGCAACATTCTGTAAATGATATGCAACTTACTTTTTGTGTCCTATTTTTGTCATTTAGTGTACATATTTCAGAGTACTGGCCAAGTGCAAGTATCGATATTGTTCTTGCTCATTCCTGAGTGATTTTGTGTCAGTTGACATCTTTTGAGGCCCACATATTTCTATTTCTGTATTTTCTGTAGACAACCGACGCTGAGCTAAAGCAATACTTCTCTGCTTTTGGAGCTGTTAAGGACACTAAAATTATAACTGACCGAGCCGGTGTATCCAAGGGGTAAGTCAACTTTCATGTTTTTTTTTAATAATAATGTGATTTTAAAAAATCTGTTTGAGGCACATTTTATTGACAAGCTTGCTTTGAAGTATTTATAGTTTAGTTCTGCTATTGTTTTGTAACAGTTACAGTTGACTTTGCGTATGTTTTGTTTATTTCATATTTTATTATTACAGATACGGATTTGTTACATTTGAGAATCAAGAAGATGCAGACATGATTATAAAAAAAGAGGTAATTTCCAGTTAAATTCATAGTTAATAGTTCTTGACAAATTATAGCAGAGTAAATTGTACAGGTTAGCTGCTTGTAAAGAGAATGAATACTGTTGGCCAGATATGATTTCCAGTTACTTCATCATTCATTGTATTGTTTAAAGACGCCTCACATCATTGAATGGTTGTCGTCTGTGGGTGTGAAGTACAAATCCTTGTCTTGTAAATGGTCTTTTTTCCTTTGCCTGCACAATTGCTAACTCTTTCATACCGACTTTCCCATATATTCTGCAAGTGTAAATTTCATGTGCCATTTTTCTTTGTCAGCTAATTTCATGTTCATCATTTATTGAGGTTACACATATATGTGGGTATGATGAATTGAATGTAAGATTAGAATAGAATATACATTAGTATAGTTTTAACTACACATATGTGAATATTCTTTTATTCCCGATTGAAAGACACGCCCAACCTAAAGGGTCTCATGTCAAGTCCTGCAACACCCCCATATTTTATTCATCTATCTAAATCTCTTTGTGATTTTTCTTTTGTCCTGTGGGTTCCAGTGAAGAGACTTTTCTGGTTTTTCGATTTCTTTGTTTTTTTCTGTGGGTATCCAATGGCAGCTAGTATTTTTTTTTTTCACCTCTCTGTTCACATCAGTTTTAGTTCTGTTAATGGGCTGATTTGTGATTCTGTCAGTTTGCCTTATTCTGCTCAAACACCAGTTAATAAATATTTATGGATTCTTAGTAATTATGCTGTCTGTTTTCTGTTTCTTATTCATGCAGCAGTAGTAGTACTGATTTGATAGTGAGTGTGTGTGTGTATATAAATATGTTTTATCTTGCATCTGATTTTGTGTGTGGTATGGAAATGTCTAGTTCAGGGATGGACGACCTCTTGTTCACGGGCCAAATTTAGAATTACCAACCTGGTAGCAGGCCATATAGAAAAGACAGTTGATAACAAACTTAACACCCAAATTTCATCACAACAGGATATTTTTGTGAGATAATCTAAGATTAAATTTCCTTGCTGCGCCTCTGGCCAGAACACACTTACCCTCTAAAACTCTTCTATATACAGCGAAGATCTGTTAAGAACTTAACTGACTGGGGACCTAAGAAATGGTTCTTCTGGTCAGAAATCTCTCTTATCCAGAAGAGTTCAAGCAAGAAAAATTTCCGGGGTTAAATAAATTGTTCTTCACAAGAGAAAATTACTACATCCAACATTGCTTTAACTCTTTGAGTCCTAAGGAACGTATCATACATTCATAGGTTCCTAAATAGAAGCCCAATGAACGCATGATGCGCTGATTTTATGACTTTCTTGACTACCCCTGGGCCTTTGTTGCTAAACCCCCTGGGACTCAGAGTTAAGCGTTCTGCACTGTATTGCTAAATGTTTCTTCAAACTGGTTATTAAAACACACAATCACTCTTTTATAAGCAAGGGCAAGATTATTTAGTAACTTTCACACCAGACTCTTGGGATAGTTAAAAACTGCTCAGCAGGCCACGGTGGACTGTAGTTTACCCACCCCTGGTCTAGTTCATTGAACTGTATTGTCAGAGTACATTGAAGTTGATTTCTTGTGAATGCCAAGAACAAAATGATGGCTAAACAGACTTTAAAAAAAAACTGATCATTTAAATACAAAAGCACATTTTTTTTGTTTTTAAGACTAATGAAACAATGGGGCTACTAAATGAGTTGATTTTAATTAGTATAGTAATGATTGATCACCAGACAAAATGGTCGGAACTTGTCAGACATTACTATGAAATTGTGTTCATATAAGTGCTTACTAATCAGAAATATGTTAAAAAATTTTTCATGTGGAAGGTATTGCATTTACTTAACTTGCTATATCATTATATGGACATCATACACGTGGTAATCGCATAATGTGACATTAAAAAAAATTTTTTTTGGCTGTATTCTGTTAGTAATTTATTAAACCTTGATCACCACTAAGCTTTGAAAAATCTGTTATTGATCAGCATACACAGAGGTAATGTAGATATTGGATTACACACCAGACAAACACAATCTGAAATATATAGACATTCTAGGTTCTAACCTGCTGCCCCCAAAGATAACCACCTAGCTGAAGGAACTGAATGTTTTTTAAGCAGGCTTTTTAAAAAAAAAATTTAAACTTGTTCAGTAGGTTATGCATCAGAGAATGTTTACTCTTTCTGCAATGTCATATTGGAGCCAGTGATTATAATTTCACTGTCCTATTCCAAGATTTTCGGTTGTCTGGTGTGATCTCTGATTTTACCTTTATCTTTGCATCAGGATCGGTCAGTACTTGTGAATTTTATTCTCAGTATGCATACTCATTTCAGGCTGACAATCTGATTTTCAAGGACAGGAAACTTAACATTGGACCAGCTGTGAGGAAGCAGGTAAATATTTTAGTCAAATTTGCTGGGTTAGTAGTGAATATGTTGTTAGTGTATTTGGTTTTACTACTGTTATAAAGCTTAACTTACTTAATGGGAATAATTATATCAGTTTTTATACTATTGATGCATATAATGGATATATTAGTTTATTAGGTTGCACACGAGATACACCAATTAGAACAATGAGGTATATGCCTGGGCTGGCACAGGCCAAGACTACATACAAGTTAAGAATAATGAAAAGCATCCACTGCATGGCAGGCTAAAAGATTTTGAAAAGAGGAAAGTCATGGATGGTACAAGCTGAAGATGCCATCAGGCTAACGGCCTCAGTCTAGCAACTACACGGGACAGGAATGGGTCGACACAAACACAACAGGAATTGGATTGACCTCACCCTGAAATTGAATACCAGATATTTCAGATTTGAGAGAAAGGGGCTGGACACTTCTCTTGTTCCGCTGTGAATACCTACGTCACTTTAAACACTATAATATTTCTTGCTGTTTGGTTACCCATTATATTTACAGCATCTTTTTTTTTTTCCCTTCGCGTTCACCAGCTGTAAACTCTGGTGGAAAGCTCTGGTTGCTTGTCCACTACTGAACTACAGTCCTGCTCCAGAACCTGAGTGTTGCGTGTGCATCAGTTTTACAGATCTCATTCTCTTGAATACAGACTGTTGGTTCCTTGCCTCTCCGGCAGATGCACTCCGACTTCAAAAAAAAGCTCCCCAATTAGTCGACATGCTTTGGGGGAGGCAGTGGGTCTATTCTTGTTTTCCCGACAATGGGGCCCCGGAACCCACACGGAGGTTGTTTACAGCTGACTTCAGTGTATTATTTTGTATTCTGATTAGTAATTAAAATGTATGAACTGACAAAATAATACACATAGAAAATAAATGTCAAAGTGTTAGTCATGTCATTTAAATATGTTAAGTTGCCCTCTGTTGCTATTTCAGGGTTTGCCTCGCCCGTATGGTAAGTTATGTCTGGCCTTATAATTTTATTTTAGCACACTGATACATTATGATATTCAGTCTGCAAAAATGAAGCTAGATACCACTCGGACACAACAGCTTGAAGATTGGGACTTCATTGTCCAAATATCAGTCTTGTTATGAGAAAGGGAAACTGGAACATGTTGTGATCATTGGAAATAAATGTGGAAAGGGAGTAAGAGGAAGACAGCACGAGAAGATTGACAGCCATTTATCATGGCATTAAATGGTGTCATCACACAAACTGATAAAAGCAGTTGCGAATTTAGAAGAGGCATGATAGCCCACGCCAGTCGGCAAGGCACTTCATGATGATGTCTTTTCCCATTCATATAATTAGATGCAAAATAATAATAGTCACAAAATAGATTACACAACACTTATTCCAGCCTTGATGAAAGAAAAATATCCATAATCAGAATCTAAAAAGAAACACTATCAAAGTATTAGGAACATTCAAATTTTAAAAAGTCAACTTAATCCCAAACTTGTAATATTTGACTGTATAAAATCAGTATTCTTTGAAGTCTTGTGCTGTGCTTACTACTAAATCCATCTTTCCAAGTGCAAAAACTCTGCCCTGTTACATTTTCCACTTGATCCCAAATTACACTCATTATGTCTGCCATGGCAATGCGGAGGAGCAGTAGCACCAGCAGTCTGTAAGACTTCTCTCTACCTTATAAGGCCGTACCAGTTAACAAACTACATTCTTTCATTTTAAAATGAGAAATGTGTGAGCAAAATAGGACTTAAAATAGCATGACATAATCACTAATCACTAATCTCAAATTCCTGTCAAGAAAAGTACAAAAATGCTGTATTGTATACATTCACAAATTGAATAAAGCCAGTTAATAATATCAGGGGTGAGAAAAAACTAAAATTATTTCTGGCACCAGCACCTTTTTTAAGGAAAGTCCCTCCCCCACCCCCTAATGCAGGTTTAGCAAACAATACAAATTGCGCCTTAGATTTGCTTACCCCTGGTGTAACTAGAGTCCTTGTTGAATTTACTGGACAATAGAAATAGCAGCTGGAGATACAAAATCATGGATTGGGGGGAGGGGGAGGGAGGACTTGAAGAGAGCTCCTGCAGGCGATAGGGTAGAAGAGATTGGAATGAGTTGGTCGAGACCACTAAATCAAAGTGCAGAGGGAAAGCTATGGAGAACACCTCTGTCCAAGTCAGATTCTTTAATTATGTTTTTTCTTGCATAAAATAATGTAGATTTTCATTGTATTGGTAAGTAATAAACATTATTATGTTATTAGGAAAGAAGTGTTGTATTTAAATATCTCATGAGGGGGTTCCTTTTGCAGCGGTGGTTCAGATGCATGTAAATGCCAGAACTGTGCATATGTTTACCATTAGGTATGATTCCAAAGTTTCTGAAGTTGATGAATTATATGATATGTAATGCACCTCATTATGTGACAGCTAATTATAAACTTACAGTATTTATTAGGAAGCACTTTTTCAGATGCTAGCATCCCACCTGGATCTGTACTGTTCTCCAATGGTGTGCCATATACTTACCAGAATGGCATGGCAATCTTTCAGACTCCAGATGGGAATTATCCATTGGCACAGCCACAGGTAGTATTCTATGCAATTATTTAGATTAAATATGTTAGATAGGTTTAAGTTTTACTTAGAGTATTACTATCTTTTTATTGTTAATGGGACAGTATAAAGGGGCTCCTGTGCTTGTCTGTCAGGACAGGGTCTGGGTTGACATAGATGCAGCAGGATTCTTCTTAAGTATCAGGATTAACCCAGCCTTATAAAACATTGGGTACTAGATAATTGTTGAAATTGTTTGGGAAGGAAAGTTAATGAATAAGGAAGCTGACATCCCCCACCTGATATGTCAGCCTAGATTGTGAAACCAGGACTTGATACCTAATAGCAGTAGCTGTGGATGTCTGAATCTGATCAAATTCAACTTTATCACCACAGTAGCTTTTTTTTTTTTTTTTTTTTTGAATGGTATAAATGAGAGTAAAATATTTTTTTTTTTCTGGGTATCTGCAATTTTCTGTGAATAATTTTCATAGTTATTGTTTTTTTCTTCATCCACAATTTCTTGATATTATTTTCTCTGTTTTTTTTTTAATTTTGGGCAGATTCCCCATTTACATTTAGTTTGTCTCCTTTTTCAAATAGTTCTTTGATGTGTTGTAACCATTTACATATTTGTTGTTTATTTTGTTTTAAATTTACTTTATAAAAACTATTTGTGTGCAAGTAAACTTTTCAAATTTTTAAATATTAAATTCTTTTTATTCTATGGTGTTTTCTATGTCACTGCATTATTGTTTCCAAATTGGTTACATTTTCTTCATGATTTCTAAATTTTATTATTTTTTAGCTTTATACTTCTTAGTTCTTTCGATTTAATATTTCTTGTGCAATTCATGTGTATACTAAATAAAAAAAATTTTTTTTTTAGGGATTGTTCTATATTTATATAAAGTCTCTATTTTATGCAGCAGTTACTGTCAGAATCTTTGTGTATTAAACCATTTTACTTTGTATGTATTGTTGCTTGGTGTAATGCTGACCACACTACTCATGTAGGGCTGACTGGTCTGTAAAAATATGGGTGCTTTTCCCATGTGCCTAAAGGCATGAAAAGGGATCTTTCATTCATTCATGTTTTGTTGCTACAAATATGTTTAAATCAGTATTCAGATCATATTTGAAAATGTTTAGAAGATATTGATTGCTAAAGTTCTGGATAAAAGCTTCAGCTTTTTTGAAATATTTAGAAGATATCACTTTAGTTCTGTAAAAACGCTTCAGCTATTTTGAAATTTTTAGAAGATATCGCTTTAGTTCTTCAGCTCAAAGCTTCAGCTCATCAAAATAGTGTTCTATGTAGAGGCAACAGAATATAAAGGATGAAAGTTGAAGGAAAAGCTAGAGTTCTGTTTTCGAAATTTTGTGGATAAGGCAGATTAAATTGTTTGGTTCCATGAAAATGCTAACTTATATTTTGCTACTAGTTTTGAGAAAGCCAAATACATTGTAGGTATGACTTAATTTTACCTGCTCAGACCTTTCTTCTTTTATATTTCAGCAGTCTTATGTAACCACTGCAGTGATGATCCCACAGAGTCAAGTCTATATGACTCCTCAGTACCCGTACCAGCAGGTAAACACTTGAGATAATTGAATGCCTAATCACTTCTAAATTAGCTTCTGTTGGATGAAGTCTATATCCTTCATCACATTCCAAATTGAGCCGACGCTGGAAATGTTTCGATGCCATTTTCTTTCACATACTTTTTATTTTTAGTATTTGCTTGTCTTCGACACAGATGTGTATTCTTTCCATGTTATCTAATCACAGTGTTGCGTACTGCCATATTTATAAATTCCAGAGACATTTTATTTGTTGTTGCTGGTTCGTTAAAACATTTCTGATTATCTCTGTTTTGTTGAAGTCTTTCTTTATTTTTCCAGTGATATTTTTGTTTGCTGCCAACACCTTTTTAGGACATGCTCATTGTATTTGTTGGGGGGGGGGGGGGGGGGGGGGGGGGACAGACTAGTTGAATAAATCAGACCACACAGATAATACATCCAGTTTATGAAATATAGTCAGAAATATATTATGTAATGACTAAGAAACCTAAAAGTAAATATATTATGATGCTACATGTATATTCTAGTTTGTAAAAACTTTTAATGTGGCCACATAATTTATTTTTTAAAAAAAAAGTTATGAAATTTAAAATGAAATATATGAGCACCTAAACATTTTTAAATTGAAATATTTTGGTCACTTGAAACGTCATGGAAGTCTAGAGAGAACAATAATGGAGGGGTATATGCCTGGGAAGAGAGGAAGAGGAAGGCCAAGGAGAAGATGGGTGCAGGATGTGGCAGATGATCTCCAGATGGGTGTATCAGACGCAGGACATCTTGCTCAGGATAGGAAGGTTTTCCGGAGGGTTGTTATGGCAGCGAGGTTCCGCGAGGGACATGCTACTGAATGAATGAATGAAACATTTTTAAAAATTAAGGTGGGAGAGATGAATGTGCAGATTCCATTTATAATGTTTCTGTTTACTGACACTTGAAGGGTTTTATTTACGTTTCATGACCCAGGATAAGAGTGACTTCCCTTGTCATTCATGACTCTTGGGTCCCAGGATCGCTCCTGTTTCCCTTATTGTCAGCTGTTTAACCTAGAAAGAGAAATATGAGGCGAAGTTCAGCCTCAGAAAACAATGTCACAGTTGACCTGCTAGCAACTGCACTTGATTTCTGCTGGTTTGCATTTTTACTGTTTTATGTTCCTGGCTGTTGGATATTGCATCCATGCTTTTATAAATAGTGTATCTATATATTACAGTAGGCTGCCTTATGTTATAGCACATCTAACTTAACACATTGAGAAGAAAGATTAGCACATCTAACTTTTCACATTAAGAGGAAAGATTAGCACATATAACTTGACACGTTGAGAAGAAATATTAACACATCTTACTTTACACGTTGAAAAAAAAAAGATTTTACAATAGTCTTTGTTGTGGTATTGAGATTTGGTGTATAATTTTATCATTTTCTCCCCCTCTCCCTGAATGCTGCCAAGATGTCTTTGCAGAGTGCTCTCCAACCTGTCCCAACTGCTAGTCCAGGTTATATTTGGGCAACTATGCCATCGGCTGCTGATGTCATTTATCAGACACCTCAGGCGTACCAGGGTGCCGAGCTTGCTGATGCTGCTTTTGTCGATGGAACTACTGTAGAGGTAACACGTCATTGTTTTATCTTATCTGTATTAGCTTTGCGTTTTATCCCCCTGCATTAAGTTCTTGTTGTTCCAGAATGTAGCCATTAATTTTTACTTCTGTTTTTATACCTGAATGACAAATGCATACAGGCATGTTTTATTTGTTTCCGTGTGGAGTTTGAGTTGATTAGAACAAGTATTTCAGGTGGTAACAAAATTTAGTGGATCTGTTTTTAATTCTCTAAAATTACAAGACGCTTACACAATACATAAAAACTGATTGTTTTAAACATACATTTAGACCTTTGGGGTCCTGTCTTACCACCTCAAGTACATTTTTTTTGTGTGTGTGCCTCATGCTTTCTCATATCCAGTTTCTCCAGTGTTGTGTGATTTATTTGAACCCTGCTTCTTTTTCCATACTGTTCTAAACATATTTTATATGGCAGAAATGGTTTATGAAATGTGCTGTATACGGCATAATATGCCTAAAATATTAAATTAAAGCAGAGAAAAGTGAAATATATATACCTAATTTTGCAGTTTTCGGCTTGTTCATCAAAAATTGAACCACATTTCAGCCTGTCTGATTTATTTCCTTTAAGAGTAATAAAAGTAAACAAGAAAAGCCAGAAGCAGTTTTGCTAGCATGTAAATAAACTGCAAGTTGTCCCAAGATGCAGTTTGAAAAAGCAAATGTTGGCTGACATATTTAGTTTGAAGCGAACTTCTGCTTCAGAACAGTTCTTAGTGATAAAATTAATTATGAGGGCCTCATACAGCATGTTCTGGAAATGCTTTTAATTTATTTACACCTTACTTTTATTTTCTACTTGTGCATTTTATATAGTATTTTTTTTTATCTGTGTTGGCTTTTGACTTATTGTTGTCTACAGTTTTAGTTTCATGGGCTTTACTCTGGATCTCTCAGGGCAGTATGATTCCTGTGGAGCAGACATTAGCAAACCGCATCCATTCACCCGTGAACGACGTCAATTGTTCAAGCGACCAGACATCTGTGGCTACGGTGCCAATTATTCCAGTGCAGGCGGCCAGCAAAAATGCCGTTGCCAGTTACAAGAAACATTATGCTCTCACAAGAAGATCCTTCAACAGCCCTACTATTCTTGTGAAGCATGGCCACAAAGTTCAGCGACTAATGGTATCAGGCACCTCACCACCAACCATGTACAATGGGCAGATTTTGAATACATGCAGTCCATCTGATACCGGTGACGGTAGCGATACTTATATCCGATACACCCACCTTCCGGGACATCCTGCCACCACCAAGTAGAGAAGTGTCAACGTGTCTGTATCTTACAAAGATATGGCGCTGACAAGTTGTGCACGACACCTGCACCTCATTTTTTTGTTGTAATTATTTGTCATTGGGTCATGTAATGCTGTAGTTACATTCCAAATTTATGGGGAGGAAAAGGGGAAACCACAGTGCTGTAGATGTGGTAAACAATAAAATAAGTTGCAGGTTGTCCTATCCAACCCCCCAAAAAATGCATGCAGCATAATTTCTGTGCAAGTACTTTTCAGATGGATTGTAAAATAGTTTTTTTTTTCTCTCGAAATAAATGTTTCAATTTTATTTTTGCCAGCGTTTGTATTTTATTGTCAAGTTTCATTCATTTAGTTCATTCAGTAACTGTTTACAGTTTGACTGAGAAAATGAAAATGTGCTAAAAACAGAGGAATACATTTAAATTGTTTATCTGTGACATTAAAAGTGTGAAGAATGGGCTTTATAGAAATACTGGTAATGTCTGTCCATGTTAACTGGCTGTAAAGTCCTGGTGGTCACCCACTAGTGAAATTCATTCTTGTACCATGGAGCTGGCCGATATACTGAATGCTCTACAAGATTCATTTAAGCCAGGCTGTCCCAGTTTCTCAGTGGCAAAACCATCATTCACCACATCATTCAATATAGTCATTGTACATGGCGAACTGCTGGAAGTAAATTTGCCAAATAAAACAGCCAAAAAACCACACAAAAAACCTCTGGGGTTGGTTTTGCAGTCCTGTAAAAAGGATGTGCAGCTAACTTGTTCTTAGTCATTGTACACATTTCAAATCAGTGACACTCAACTTGTCTAGTGGGATCATCATGAACCGAGATGGGGCGGGGGGGCTAAAGGGCCAAACCTTCAGTTTCGGGCAGGGGCAGATTTAAAGGAAAGAAGTAACTAAATACTGTTGCCATATTTCATGGGAACATATGGACAGGTATGTTCACTTGAGGACATAAAACCAGACAAGGAGTGGATGCAAGTGCCGTCAGTTTCTTTACATCATTTTCTGTTTGCATCCAACTAGGCAAAAGTTGAAGCCTTGATTTTCTAGAGTGTGACAGTCATTTACACAGGTGGGTCTGTCATCTGCCATGTTAAAAGCTGTGACTAAATCAGTAACATGACTTACAGATTTTCACTGGGGCGTGCTTTCTCAGTGACTCGATGAGTGTGCTCAGGAAGGTAGAAAGCGATGGAAAGGCTGTGGTTGATGGCTCTACAGTGTTCACGGCTGACGAGGATTAGTTTCATTATCGTGCCAGGATATGTGGGGGTACAAGGAAATGAGTACGCTGATACGCTTGCAGGTAAAGCTACTGTAAACGCTGGACAAGCCATGGACCAGGCTGATTTACTGAATGCTATATGGGATTTAAGATGTTTGCGTGAGCTGATTGAAAACTGAATCTGCAACTATGGTCAGACTACAAGAACAGCAAGTTAAAACGGGGTGTCGCCAAACAAGCACTACGCGGGTGGGCCAAGAATAATAAACCAACACAGAACTGGTGTTACGGGATTTACTGAGGAGGGAATCTACGTGTAATGAGGATTCTGCTAGGGGCATGTCGATGTTGCTTTGACGTTGGGCAATTTCTGCTCCAGCCCAATCTTGTTGTGCTAATGCATGACTTTCGTTTTGTATCGCCCATCTGATCAAATAAAGAAGGGAGCAAACTAGTGCCAGTTATGCCTACTACATAAAGGACTACTGGTTCAGCTATACAGTTTTGGAAATTTCTGAACATTAAATAGGATCAATTCGAGAGAAAAGGGGGGGGGGGGAGAGAGAGGTGGGGTGAAATAATATAAATGTCTGGGGAACCTAAGCTTGTATCAACAGTTAGGACACAAAAAAAAAAGAAATATGATATATTGGATATATACTGAGAAGAAATGTACATAATCTCCTAACAGGCACTGAGGAAACGAGGACTCTAAAAGGAAAGCGTAAAAGAAGGCCAAAGGTGCTGGCCTAGATTAGGGGTAGAACGGAATGGAGTAATAAAACTGCGAGCTGTGTGTGACATTTAGCGGTTTGTAATTATTAAATCTTAGCCAGAAGGTGTATGAAACTGAGGCCAAATAGTGTCAGTGACATATATATTTTAAAAAAAAACCATTCTTGCTTTCTTTGATGCCTCTAAGTATGCTTTCATGGAATCTGTTGTCTTTCTTGTTGTAGACTCCTTGTGTTTGTAGGTTTGCATGGATATTTTATTTTATTCTTCGCGTTATTTTATTTTATTCTTCGCGTTTTCAAGCTAATTCCGGCAGAAAGTTCTGGTTGTTCTTCCACTATTGGACTTGGGTCTTGTTCCAGAAATAACCCATATTTGTACAGACCAATCAGTCGCCGGTATGATTTACTTGCTTTTGGGGGGGGGGGGGGGGGCAGCGGGTCTCCCCCCCCCCCCCCCTCCTTTTTCCCCAAAATGAACCACGGCTCACCCTGGAATTTCAGAGCCACATAAGATGACTGGTCTTATCAACATTTTGAATATTGTAATCTTGATTGACACTTGTCGATACTAACCTTTCAAACACTGTGTAATCGAACAAAGCAGGGCTAATGAACACCGGGCTGAGTCAATTAATGCGTGCTAGAAATTGGAGAGAGTAGCGAAGTAATTCAGTGAATGGCTTAGAGACAATGCTCAATTTTTATTTAAATCTTAGTCAGATAAAAGGGGCACTATGTCAGTGTGGGTTCTGGTGCACCATTTATGGGGGAGAGGGAGAATAGACCCACTGACATCAAAACGGCGACTAATTATCGATTTGCAGAAATCGGATGTGTTTGATCAACAGGTGCAGATATCACGTGCTAGCTATTAATCGCTGCACAACGTAACAACCGCTATTTTCAAGGCGAACACAAGAAGAAAGAACATAACGTGTACTGAGGGCTGGAAGAAAAATCATTTATTGTTGTTAAACAGTGCAGTCATTAGCTGTGTACATAGTGCATTCTAACCAGATAACTAAATTATGTAATCAAAAAGTGCATTCTAACCAGATGACTAAATTGTGTAATCAAATAGTGCATTCTAACCAGATGACTAAATTGTGTAATCAAATAGTGCATTCTAACCAGATGACTAAATTGTGTAATCAAATAGTGCATTCTAACCAGATGACTAAATTGTGTAATCAAATAGTGCATTCTAACCAGATGACTAAATTGTGTAATCAAAAAGTGCATTCTAACCAGATGACTAAATTGTGTGATCAAAGAGTACATTTAAACTAAACGGTTTGTTTATTTGTTAGTGTTTATTCGACAAATCAACATTATGGCACAGGGATGTAACCGTTAAGTGATCTGTTCTACTTCTAACTCAAGCTCTAGTCTGAAGATTCTCAGCGCAGTGCACGAACATCGTTGCTCAGCAAGGATCCTAAAATACTTTGGGTAGATTTTTTTCACAAATATACAAACGGCCGTCCGGTCTTACTACCCTGAAGTCCACATGAAGAACTCCCAGCCTTTACTGGGGCATGAACCCAGGACTGCCAGCACTTGAGGCGGACACCATACCTCGTGACCACTCAGCCCCCTGTAAAGGAAGTAATATAATATTACACAAATAACAAAACAGAAAATACACACGGTTAATGATGTCTCACTGGTGACATCAGTGTCCTGTCAGGGATTGACTATAATAGTTAATTAATTACTTGCTAAACTCGTCCAATCTCTAAACTAGTCAATTACACTTTATTCTTTCCTGGACCACTGATACAGCCTAAGCAACAGTTATACGAAACATTGTTTGTTTCGTCCTGCTTTTAATTAAGTTACTGTCTTTCATTTAATTATTGTGACCCAGACATATTCAACTCTTGACCTAGACGGTTTAACTTTAACAATTACTTAGGCCATAATTAATGTATACAGAACGAAGTTATTGCTTGCACCTTGATTAAACCCAAAGGTGATCAGTCTCTGACGATAATATATCGGCTGTGTGAGCTAATAATGATCGCGCCATGCCACACCCCCCCCCCTTTTTTTTGTTCCTTTTTTGTGTGCATCGGTATAATCTCCTCAACTATTATTAAATTGTGTCCCCCTTGCGAGTTCCGGGACCATATTGTAGGGGAAACAAGAATAGACCCACTGCCTACCCAAAAGCATGTTGTAAGAGTCGACTAATTGGGAGCTTTCTTCAAAGTCGGAGTGCATTTGCCTGATAGGCAAGGAACCAACAGTCTGCATACAAATAAGTCAGATCTGTAATATGGATGTGCACGCAACACTTAGGTTCTGGAACAGGACTTCAGTCCTGAAGTGGGCGAACAGCCAGAACTTTTTGCCGGAGTTTACAGCTGGTGGAAGAAGAAGAAGACGATTACATTGTGTCTCAGATGTAATGATGTTCACGATTATGAAACAAGTCACCCGACATGGACGAATCACAGAAAGCACTGTCAAACATCTTAGCAATTGGACAGACTGTGTGCGACAAGATCAGCAGGTCGAAGAAATCAGAACAGACAGTGAGAATCCTTATGAAATAGCTCTATATTGAGTTTTCTGGATTGTGACTAGTCTGTTCATGTATGTATGTAGGCTTAGGTGTACCCACTGTATCGCGACCGCCTTTCTCTTGTAACTGTTTATAGTAGCCATTTTCCGGGCATTTATATATATTTTATTTTCACCTCTGTAGAAATAATCCCATGTGATTTTATTCCCAACTTTCGTAAGCGTGTGATTTCGAATGCATTTATCTTTCATTCCATATCTTTAGTGGCTTTCCAACTGTAACTGTCACCAGAATTTGTACAAACTGACGCTGAAAGTGAAATGTTGTAACTTGGTTCTCAGACTGTATAATGTACATGAGTCACTGGCTACAGGCCTGCTCGCGATCGAGCGATGCAGGCTGGTCGGGAAATTCAAGGTATGGTGTCTCCAATTCATGTTGATTCCAAAGCTCCTATGGCCACTGCTAGTCTACGAGGTGACGATGACTGCAGTTGA